TTATGTTTGTTTATAAAAGCTAAGAGTACACTTTGTATGTAAATATCACGCACATTTTTAAAAGTATACTTTTTATGCAGTGACTTTCGTGCAGTAGTGTGACGGCCGTTGCAAACCATAGTACTTTACTAGTTCCCCCCTAAAAAAAAAAATTAATCTTGAGATTTTATTTACTTTTCATTTAGTGCCCCCATCAGGATAAAAAACCGCTTACTTTTGTGCGTTTCGTCTGTTGGTCAGTCTGTCCTTCAGTTTAAGATAAAAAAAATATAAAAGCCATTTAAAATCTTATTTAACCTTTAATGTTCCTTCCGAAACATCGGAACATTAAGTATCCATAATAGATTGTTCCCGATGTTTTTGTGAAAAACAAATCAATGTCAACAAACGTTTGTTTGCTCTTCAAACTTATATTACATGATAACTTATATTACATGATAACTTATATTACATGATAACTTATATTACATGATAACTTATATTATATGATAACTTATATTACTTGATAACTTATATTACATGATAACTTATATTACATGATAACTTATACTACATGATAACTTATATTACATGATAACTTATATTACATGATAACTTATATTTCCTTGCTTAAACGTTGTAAAAACTCATGATGAATAATATTTTGTTCCTGTGCCTTGTCCTGCAGTTAGCGCGCTGGACTGATTGTCTCGACAGTCCCAAGTTCATACCCTGCTCGCTGCCATCCCCCGTCGTCCAGCGAACGGCTTAGACTAGGAAATAAATCATCTTTAACTTTGAAGGAACTTTTTCCCCCCCAAAAAATTACAACCCAAATGAGTCTTTGAAATATTATTACTTTGGACAATTAAGAAAATAACATGTCTTGAATATTACTTATAAATACGTGGATCCATTTGGATCCGACGTGGGCCGCCTCTGAGTTTGTGTAATAACATAATCTTGTTTGTGCTTTAATTTATAGCGGCCTGCAATGGGAAAATCCGCTATAAGCTATCGGTCCCATTTAGATCTTAGAAACTAAATAAGAAACTAAATAATAAAATGAAAATCGGATATAATCAAATTTCTGATGCTACATTTTTTTTCCGAAAGTGAATGATTTAATTTTTAAAATTAACTATGCAAGCAGAATTTTAATAAAAATACACTACTTTTAAATGAAAAACTTCAGGGTAGGTGAGAACGCTTCTAACCCGCCCCTGTGAATACGCCTTGTAAGCTGTTGCCTTTTGCTCTATTGATAATAGCACAAGAGTTATTAAAAATTAGCATTTCCATGCACATAAATAGTTTCCTTCACCGCAAAACCATTTGATACCATACTTACATCGCGGTCGTTATTGTTAAACAGTTTTCAAATTTGACACTTTGACGGAAAGGGAATCCTTAGCTATGGAGTTTAAATTGATATCAATATTGGTAGTAGTACTCTTAGTATCGGAAGTCCATTGTTATGCATGTAAGTAAATCTTAGAATATTATATATATATATATATATATATATACCAGACATATATTACCCGTGGCCCTCGGGTCTTAATTTGTTTACCACTGTCAATATAGTTACTGAGAGTGTTTTGGAAACAATTAGACGAAATAATAATGCTATAAGAAAGCGAATGCGTAAATTTAAAAAATAGTATGAATGGAGCAATCAAAATAGTTATTCAACCTAAATCCATTTTTTAAAATAAAAACATTTGCTTGCTGGTCAACATATATTTAGATCTAGATCTAGAGTCTAGATACTAATATAATAGATGAAGACATACTATTATAAGAGTGAATTCAATGGCTCAAGAAGCTTATTAATTATTGTATGTTAGTATATTGAATATCCCCCCATATAGAGCCTCATGTTGCCTGTCCAATCATAGTGTGAAAAATGCTTTAAAAACACACAATTGGAGGGTTAATATGATTAATATATGAAATGAATGAATTTTATTTTGTATGTTAATGTGTTAAAGTATAAAATAGATCTTTCCTCTTTGAATTAGACCTAGAATTAGAGTTAGATTTAGACTATCTAGAGTCTAGACTTAGATGTCGGCTTCGATAGATGAATGGAATTATAAAGTACGCCAGGAATTCTAAATTCACAGATATAAGGAACGAATTTATGTAAAAATGTTTTGAAAAACAAAACTTTGAAGCTTAGTTTTATTAAATAAAAATTCAATGGACTATATTTTGTAATTTTCATGTGTCAAAGTAAAAACTATCTTTGCAAAATATAGTTCTTAAAATTAGATCTAGATATGGATCAATTAGATCTTTTCTCATGTAAACATGGTAAACAATATCAATATTGGCCTAGATTGATATGATACTAATACTTTCATAGAGTTGGGCAACTTTGTTTTTGAGGGTCTTAAGTTTATTTTAAGGCCACTATACTAAGTTACGGTTCCTGTTAGTACTCAAGGAACACTTCTGCCAAGTTTTATCAAGATTAATGAACGGTTTTGATTTCTATGCGGGACATACATACATACATACGCCAAACATTCTACTTTATAGTATATATATATATATATATATATATATATATATTAGAGAGAGAGAGAGATACATACTTAAAAGGATAGATAGACAGACAGACAGATATATTATTTGGTTCCTATCTTTAAAGCCAATTTTTTATGTTTTATTTTTTTTTCCTCTTTTGAGAACTCGTCCTAGTGTTTCCTATTTCTTTCAATTTATTATTGACAGACCTTTTTTTTTCACCATCCCAATCAACAATTATACTTAGTAATACTAAATAAGATACTACAATTCACTTAGAATAAATAAGTACTTCTTAAACTCAGTTAATGCCACCAATCAGTAAAGACCCTATTACATATTTTTTATGGCTTTTTATATAGCGCTACTTTCATGTTTATAGCATGCTCAGAGCGCTTTGGTCCAATCTCAGTTGTGGACCAGTAAGGGGGGGGGGTGTCTAGGAGAAGGTTTTTCCGTCAGGCTCTGATTTGAATTTAACAGAAATGTATTTAGGAGTTGTTTTATTTTATTGTTGAGAGGGGGAGGGTCGAGTTTTATTATCACGTTAGTATCTAGCATCCCATTCAAGTTTTGCTTGGTGGTGATATATACAATTCATGATCGACTAATTGGCGCGACATGGCCTATATAATTGTTTGCCATGTTTCGGGTGTTTCTTCAGAATTGATGATTACTTCCTTTCACAAACAATTTGGTGGGGCATGAGGGCGGGCAGGGTTTGAACCAAGGAACATCGAGACGACAGCCCACACGATGTGCCATAATACATATATATATTAAATTCATATACCAACTGATTTTAATTCTGTTCCCCTTTTAATTGAAGAGCTTTTTTTAGATATGTGGCGGCAAAACTATAAATAGCTAGCTTTTGAGTGTAGTGTGGTCTGTTGCCAAGAATTAAAATTTATTTCATTTTTGAAAAATAATAACGGTTAAACGAGTTTTTCCCCATGTGGCTAACTAGCTAGTAAATCTTTTCTCAGCGATATATATCAACTGTTAAATTTCTAGCGAAAAAATCGTTAGATCCGTTTTTGAGATCAGTGTGCAAATTCCTCCGCCTTTATTAAAGTTCTGTCTTGAAAAGAGGTAGTGTAAAAAATATTTAAAAAAAAACACAATACCTCATTTATACAACTATAGCGATATAGCGATTATTTTGCTCTCAATAAACAATGAATGTTAATTTTAAAAATAAATGATAATTTTTCTATCCCCACCGCCGTCCCGAGAAGGAATTCAGGTTATTCAATGTATAGATCTACTATAAGCTTGCAATGATAGACCTTTAGATCTTGACTAAGAAGAGAGTGCGCACAATTTATTCAACTCTTTAATGAGTAGGGTCTACATGCGGAGTTACCCGAAGACGTAGTTTGTTCAAGATAATTATTGTCTAGTTCTCTAGCGAAATGTATTTCTTTTAAGTCTTTGAAAATGATAACGATCAAACTAGAGATTTCCCCCCCCCCCCCTCTATGTCCCCAACGATAACCATCAACTGTCAAATTTTTACGAAAATCGTTTTGAGATACGTATCTAAATTTTTCACACCCTCTTTTCTCAGATATAGTTCCATGAAGGTACGAAATGAATAGCGGTATTATAAAAAATTTATATCTTAGTAGTAAATTGAGATTTGATACATTTAAAAAATATAGATCTATATTTTTTTCCCTTCTTGACATTGTTTAGTTTATCGCAAACTCTAGGCATAAATCTATAATAAACATCTGTAGGAAAATTTAAAAAGTAAACGAGAGTATAACTTTTTTCAATTCTCTATATTTAGTGTTCGGGAAAATCCTGAGCCATCTTTTGCCACTCAAGTAAGTCGCTAGATGATGATGTCACAAAACATCAAACATTGAAAACATTAAACATATCTTGGGTTCTACATTCATACAATACTACATTTAAAATTCATGAATATTTGAAATTAAATAAATTATTTTACAACCATTTTTCTTTTTAAGTTGTAACAGGAGGTGGATGCCGTGGTACAAGGTACGGCTGTTGTCCAGATGGCGAAACAAGCGCTCTTGGAGAAGACAGCGAGGGTTGTGACGATGTTCCTTTGGTTGGTGGATGTGCTGGTACAAGATACGGCTGTTGTCCAGATGGCGAAACAAGCGCTCTTGGAGAAGACAGCGAGGGTTGTGACGATGTTCCTTTGGTTGGTGGATGTGCTGGTACAAGATACGGCTGTTGTCCAGACGGAGAGACTAGCGCTCTTGGAGAAGACAGCGAGGGTTGTGACGATGTTCCTTTGGTTGGTGGATGTGCTGGTACAAGATACGGCTGTTGTCCAGACGGAGAGACTAGCGCTTTTGGAGAAGACAGCGAGGGTTGTGACGATGTTCCTTTGGTTGGTGGATGTGCTGGTACAAGATACGGCTGTTGTCCAGATGGCGAAACAAGCGCTCTTGGAGAAGACAGCGAGGGTTGTGACGATGTTCCTTTGGTTGGTGGATGTGCTGGTACAAGATACGGCTGTTGTCCAGATGGCGAAAGTTATGCTCAAGGGGATGAATACGAAGGATGCATCGAGAACTAATCTTTAGATAAGTAAGATTGACGCTGTGCTAGAAGAACGAAGCTAGAGACTGGGTGAGGGTTTTATGGAATCTCATATGGTAAAAAAAAGAATTATAAATAAACAGTTTATTATATTTTAAACAATAAGTTGTGTACATTAAACATATATTCTTTGATATTATTTTTGTCCCTAAATAAACCATATGGTTTGGAATTTAAACAATAAGTTGTATTCTTTTTCATTTTCGTCTCAATCAATGTTACCACTGACTGACTGACTAATTGATCAGGAGTTCTTATCAGCTGTTGAAAGAATGTGCACGAAAATTCTTACACGAATTCCTTTTACCTCCTAGGAACTCACCAAGAACCGGTTTCGACTCATTCCCAACCCGACCATCGCTAATTTGCGAAAAAGCCTCAAGCTTTCTATCAAACCTTTGTATTAATTTTCGGCATTTCCCTTAAAGTCCAAAGTATCTACATAAAAATGAAAACAAACAGAAAATCGCTCTAATTCTGCATTTTAAAGACATTTCAGATACACAAGTTAACGGGCTTAAAAGTACAATGTTACAAAGACAGTTTGTGTGGAAATACAAACTCAAAATCGGCCCACGAAGTGGTCCTCCCAGGCAGGTAAAAAAGCAGGTTGTATTATTTTTCAGAAAGAACATCAGAATGTAATTCTATCAAAGGCAAATGACAGAGAAGAATCGAGAAAGAAGGTTGACAGATCTTGTGTGATGCCCCAGTAGACCAAAGGATATATAAAAGTGAATGTGAAGTTAGATGTGAACCTGGCCTAACTGATGTCATATAATGAATATCTAATTGATCTAATTGTTTTTGTAAAGGGTCAATCTTTATTCAAATCCTCAAGAAAAAAACATTTCCGTAAAAAAAGAATAATCCTTTAGTTGAGTGTTGCACAGTATGAGAGGTATCCGGCAGTCCACGCAATAATATGAAAAAACTACTTTTAATTGTTGTTTTAAATTATGTCCAACTTATTTGCATACTAAATAGTCTTTTTCTTTAAAAAAAATAGTAAAACATTTTTTTTGTGTATATGTAGTAGTTAATATAACAGAACTTACTTAACTTAGCAATACAATGTATACAATGTAAAAAAAAATTGTGACAAAAAATCTAAAACTATTTGCATAAATGTGTTAAAAATATGGTAAATAGTCACCTCCCCTACTAAAGAGCTCCCGTGTTTGTTACTTTTAATAGTGAATTGCTGTATAAGTGGTGTATTTTATGAAAAAACTGCTTGCATACGTGATTTAAAAAACTAGATTTTTCACTTTCAGAAAAGAAAAAAGTAGACGTTGCATCAGAACTTTGAAAGGTCTAAAATATTATGATGTCGGATTTTCACTATCTTTTCTAGTTTATGAGATCTAAACGAGACGGACGGACGGACAGACAGACATTCTACACAAAACTAATAGCGTCTTTTCCCCTTTCGGGGGCCGCTAAAAATACTTCAAAATTAATGGAATAAAGAAACATGTTTAGCTTAGCCACAGAAATTACGCCCTATAGAAATCTAAGGAAGTCTGTTTTTTTCGTCTAATGTCGTAGGTTTCTGCCTAGGTATTTCTATTATTATTTTTAAAAAGCTAAAGAGAATGTTTTCATTGATTACTGAAATAATTTATTTGCCGACTCGCCTTAAATATATCTGCTATCTACATAATTTTCTCCAGATTGCATTAAAACTTAACAATGAAATAAATTTTATTCTTTTTTTACGCAGTACATTTCTGTTTTAATTTAGGAAGGGCTCCATTTTCATTTTAAAATGACCTCTCGCTTTTAGTAGAGATAGGGGGCGGTGGCTGAGTGGTCCTGGGTTCAAATCTCGGTGAAGACGTACTTGGATTGTGAATGTTGGGATATTTAGGGCGCTCCATGAGTGCACCCAACTCCAATGGATACCTGACTGGAGTTTGGGAAAAGTTAAGGCGGTTTGTGGTTGTGCTGGCCACATGACACCCTGCTCGATGAACGATGGCCAAAGAAAGCTGATCCTAAACCCATCTGTTCCCCTCTATAGATCACAAGTTCTGAAAGGGAACCTATTTTATTAGAGATACATTTTAGAATCGACTAAATGGCCCTGACCTTGAGTTTTATTGATTTCTTTCAGTACAATAGTATATAAAAAAAAATTAAAATTAAACAATCAAAGTTTAAATCCCAGACAGTTGTATGTTATGATGTTATGATAATTGACAAAAAATCTTAACCGTTTGCATAAATGTGTTAAAAATATGTTATTTACTCATCTCTCTAACTAAATAGTCTCCCATTGTTCCATGTAAATATGATATACTTTTACAGAAAATAAATAAATAAAATAAAAATGCTTGCATAAATGATTTCAAACTGTAAATTTTTGCATAAATGATTTCAAAATGTAAATTTTTGCATAAATGATTTCAAAATGTAAATTTTTGCATAAATGATTTCAAAATGTAAATTTTTGCATAAATGAATTCAAAATGTAAATTTTTCGCATTCAGAAAAGAAAAAAGTAGCTGTTGCATCACAACTTTAGCAGATCTAAAATAGAAAGATATCAATATCTTTTCAATATCTTTTCTAGTTTATGAAATCTAAAAGGACGGACAGACAAAAACAGAAGGAATAAACAAAACTAACAGCGGCGATTCACCTTTCGGGTGCCGCTAAAAATCAGATAAAAAAGAATTTGGTTTGAAATTCTAATATTATAAAATAAAGTTTTCCTTTAAGCTAAAACGTCGGTAAACAAATAATGCGATCCTGGTTCTGTGCCTTGTAGGGAAGTCTGTGAATTCGACAGCTAGTTGATGATCCAAGGAAATACACGTTAGAGAATGTAGCGTGAGTTGAGATCGATATTAAATTCTGATATTTACTCTTTATTAGAGAGATGTGTTGGGGATGAGTACACAGTGTCATTAAAACACAGTTGACCTCAGGGCGGCGTTAGGTCGATTTCACTTATTGCTCCAAATTAGTCCCTGCGCCTGGCAGGTGCTTGCAATTTACAATTAGCATATCACTATCAGTCTTGGCTCTTGTCGCAGGTGTTTAAAGATGTAGGACTTAACGGGTTAACATATTTAGTGTAAGGTGACCAGACTTATGTGGGGCAGTCCCGCTTTGGAACGTTTGTCACGCTTTCATAAAATTCCGAGCGTCATGATCAATGTCATGCTTTTGTTTCAAAATTTGATTCTAAGCATCACCTTTTGATTAATACCCTCAAAGTTACCATCTTTCGGACCTCCTTATTGATCCATTGCGGGCTCCTGCGTTTCTGGCATGAGAAGTGTGTCAGCCTTCTCATCTTTAACTGACGTCAGCACGTTTCGGGTCGACTATTGGCGTTTTGGGTCGACTATTGGCGTTTTGGGTCGACTATTGGCGTTTTGGGTCGACTATTGGTGTTTGGGGTGGACTACTGGCGTTTTGGGTGGACTACTGGCGTTTTGGGTGGACTATTGGCGTTTTGGGTCGACTATTGGTGTTTTGGGTGGACTACTGGCGTTTTGGGTGGACTATTGGTGTTTTGGGTCGACTATTGGTGTTTTGGGTCGACTATTGGCGTTTTGATTTCTCTCATGTCCAGTCTTGGATTTGTAGAAAGCCATGTCACAAACTGTAGAAGAAGATGCATGCGCCAAGGAAGTAGGCCCTAAGGCTTCAGAGCAACAGCAACAAATGATGAAAGTTCCGGACCATCATTTGAAAGTATCGGACCATCATCTGAAAGTACCGGACAAACATCTGAAACCGGACCAACATCTGAAACCGGACCATCATTTGAAAGTACCGGACCATCATCTGAAAGTACCGGACCATCATCTGAAAGTACCGGACCATCATCTAAAAGTACCGGATCATCATCTGAAAGTACCGGACCATCATCTAAAAGTACCGGACCATCATCTGAAAGTACCGGACCTTCATCTCCTCTGCTTGGAGAAAGATATGGTAGTACCAACTTAAATATTAATGCCGTTTTCTTCGTTTTAAAAATAGCCTACTGTCATGACGTACTTATAGAGTTGAAGCTGGGTGCTGAAACAAATGTGATACATACATATCTAAATGACGTAGAGATTGTTGACAACACCATTGCTTGGCAACGCCTGAGAAGAGAATGATTTTTACACTCTTCAAGTATCTGGTCATCTTAATTAGTGTATCGTATGATTTAATTAAGCCTTTGGCGCCTAATGCATTTCAGTTGCTTCCTTTGCTTGTTGCATAATAAATGTTGCTATCATGCTCTAATTAATAGTAAGAGTTGTTACTGTAAAAAAATAAAAAAATAGAAAAAGGGCCTAGCAAGCTTCAACTAAATTGAGTCCCGCTATTTGTAAGGCCGGCCCTGTTTGACCAAGGGAATATTATATTTACTATAAAAATCGCATTATCATCATATTTCATAGCTCTATAGAACCTGATTAGATTAGAAAAGTGAACAATGCTATATTCCTAGTGTTAATAAAGAAAGTAAAACCTGTTCCAATTCGGCAATATTTGTTTTCTCCAGGAGTTGAGTTGATTACGAGCCCATCTGGCGGCTAGAAGATTTTTTGACGCCTAAACCTTTTTTGAAATTATTTTATTATTTTGTAAATCAATTCGCCTGTAAACATGAACCAAATAAATGGATGTTAATTGACAAGTCCTGTATCCAGTTCAGAATAAAATTCTTGCTGACATTGGCAACAGCAGCAGATCTTAAAATCAAAACGTGTAGAGGCGTAACTTAACGTTGTTGGCATACAGAGCGGCTGCTCAAGGTGTCAGCTTCATTACTTTAATACAATAGTAACTAAAGCTGCTTTGTTATTCTTTTTGTTGAAACCTGGAGATGAAAATGTAGATTTGTTTTTTAGTTGGTATACATTATAATTCTTAAAAGTACAATGATCCTATTTTTGACAAAACGACTTTTGAAGTCAGAACTACATAGGGATAAAGTGGGCGTAGGGAGACATTGGACGCTAATCTTGAAGACAGCTTTAACGATTTTCCTAGACATGTAACAGTTGGTGTATATCACTGAGAAATAAATTACTTGTTCGTTGGCCACACGGAGAAAACTCTGGTTTGACCTTAGCCTTTTTCACAGTAAAAAAATAATTTAAAATTTGTCTATAAATTTGATTTTTTTTTAAATGGCGTATTCAGCCATTGTGTACCGATAACAAA